TTAGCCTCCAGGACGCAGGGTATCCGTTATTCATGATGCTGGCTGTAGGTGTCGGGCTATTAAAGAAGCCTAAGCAGGGAGAGGAACCATTTTCTGAAATGGGAGATCAAATTGATTCTAGCTCATAGGTGGTAGCGATCACTTATATGCGCGGGCTATCTCACAGAACAATAAAGCTAGCTGGAAGTTATGATGTAAAGGTAATGTTTTCAGCCGAAAACAAGATCAGAGGAGAATGTGTGCATTGGTTAACTAGAAATGAGACAAAACTGAGCAGTGTACAAAAGGAATGTAGCATTACAAGCTCCAGTTTATTAATTGGATAAACATTGCGGTGTGTAGTATAGCACCTCCGACATGTGGTCCTGTGTATGTTGGGTAGACTGGCAGATGTATTAACAGTCCATAGGCACATTCACACTGAGCCATGGATTCGGAAAGCGGAGAGGCCGATCCAGAAAGCGGAAGCGAATTATCCTTTTACAACCTGCTTGCAACGAACCTCCATATAATGAATTCCTCGATATAACCCCGTCATCGTTCCATAGAAGTACATGCATTTGCAAACTCTATGTAACAGAGTAACTGTGGCAGACTACTTTGATATATATATTGTAAGGCAACGTTTTCGCTGCAAGACACTTCTTTTACTTGTCGAGCCTCTGCCCCATAACACAGGTCAGGCTGATGATGATGAGTATGTACATATGATACAATGACGCGCATGAATAATGCTCACACTTATCTCCCCCTCACGCTTGAGCGGCCAGCCCAGACGCGTCTTAGATGGAAACGGAACGTCGAACGAATGGCTTCAGACGCAACACGTGGACAATCTCCGAACCACGACAGCGACGATCCGAAGAAAGGTCTCTGGGAGTGACACGGTAGTTCACTGGTGACGTTTGTTCATTGATTGTATAGGGTCTAATGAAGCGTGACTGAAATTTATCGCACAATCCTGGAGTACGAATGGGCGTATAAAGCAACACTTCATCCCCAGGACTGAAGGAGACGTCGCGATGAGAGCTGTCGTAGCGCTGCTTGCGATCTTGCTGATTGGCTTCTGTATTAAGGCGAGCCCGTTGCCGACATTCCTCAAGCCTTGTGATGAACTGCTCTGATACGGTTGCCGAGGCGTCAGTTGGAACATTTAGGAAAGAGACATCGATGGTAAATGTCGGTGAACGGCCGTACACGAGGTAGAAAGGCAAGTGGCCAGTAGTTCTTTGAACAGCGGTGTTATGGGCAAACATCACAAAAGGCAAAATCGTATGCCAGTTGTCGTGGTTTGGTGCGATGTACATCGATAGCATGTCTGTTAGTGTCCGATGAAATCTCTCTGTCAGCCCATTAGTTTGAGTGTGGTAGGCTGACGTCATCTTATGTATTGTACCACAGGTTGTGAGCAGGGTTTCGATTATGGTGGCTAGGAACGTTTTGCCGCGATCACTCAGGAGGACGCGAGGTGCACCGTGGCGCAATACAATGGCGTTGAGAAAGAAGTCTACGACGTCTGAAGCAGAACTTGTGCGTAGTGCAGCAGTCTCTGCGTACCGTATAAGGTGAACGACAGCAGTCACAATCCAACGATTACCTGCTGGTGTGATGGGGAGAGGTCCTAGTAGGTCTATGCCAACGATGGCGAAAGGAGTCTCGGGACACAGGATGGGTTGCAGAAGGCCGGCAGGAGACGAAGTTGGCCGCTTACGCCGTTGACACAGATGGCAAGATGCAACGTATTTGGCCACAAAGGTAGAGATGCCAGGCCAGAAGAAACGTTTCCTGATGCGGCTTTGTGTTTTGTGAAATCCCAAGTGGCCTGCACATGGGTCGTCGTGAAAGGCTTCGAGGACTTGGTGACGTAGAGAATGCGGAAGTACTGGAACCCAGCGGTGTCCATCAGTAGTGTAAATGTAACGATGGAGCACATTGTTATCGAGCTTAAATTTCCATAGTTGTCGGCGCAATCTAGCATTAGGAGTAGATGATATACCATTTAGGCGTTGAATAATGCTATTGCAATATGGATCATCACGCTGGCGTGTGGCGAACTCGGTGTAGCGATTTGAAGCCAGGCGTGTCGATAACCGCAAGTTGTGATAATGTGAGGGGTGACGCAGAGTTTTGCCCACCAGACCAGCAATCACCTGGCGTACTCGATGATGACAGTGGAAGGGGGCAGCGAGAGAGAGCATCTGCATCTTGGTGTTTTTTGCCAGACTTATAGATCACGTCAAAATCGTACTCTTGTAGACGGAGCACCCAACGACCGAGGCGACCAGACAAGTTTTTCAGTGACGATAGCCAGCACAAGGCGTGATGGTCTGTAATGACTGTGAAGTGGCGTCCGTAAAGATACGGTCGAAATTTTTGTACTGCCCAAACGACAGCAAGGCACTCCTGCTCAGTTATGGAGTAGTTCTGTTCAGCAGCCGTAAGAGCACGACTAGCATACGCAATAACTCTTTCCCGTGAAGTGGCATCCCGCTATAGAAGTGGCATCCCGCTGTATGCTCACAATATATATGTATATCAAGGTTGTCTCCTGCTGTTACTTTGTTACATAGCGGTCACAAATTCGTTATAGCGAATTTCCCCTGTGGACAATCTAAAAATTTAGCCCCGGATTTTGTCATTTTGGTATGAGCATGCATCTTCCGCGTATGCCCCGCCGTTGATGAAGTATGAAGTGGCGGCGGCACGCATGGTGCCCTTGTGGTCCTGGCAACTACCAGTGCTCATTATTGCACAGATGTGCGAGAGGCAGGAAGGCTGGCCTGCATCCCAATCCCTCGAGCCGGTGTTGCCACCATTCTTGCCGCCACAGGCGCATGGGTAACTGTGCTCCCCACCCCCTTCATACAAAAAAAAAAAAAAAAACTACTTTTGCGTTAGCTTTTAGTTAGCATCACAAACGTGGGCAGTGTGCTATATATGAAGGTTGCTTTACGGAATAGTTTTCTGCGGTATCCGTGTCGTTTGCTTTTTGTTTTCAATGGCTTGCGCGCCTGCATGGTTTCACTGCGTGCGCATGGTGTGGCCCCACATAGTTCAGCTTTCTTTCTTTTTTTTCTTTCTTCTTTAAAAATGCGGACAACTGTGTCGTTACTACCGAGGGGATGTCAGATTAGGGGCTGATGAGAACTGTGCGAGGCCACGGTGACGACATATCTGCAGAGGTTGACTTGTCAAGCGCTTCTGTCTTCCAATTCCTCGCGAGTTCGCAGGCTTATAGCCTTTGCGATTTGCTGATACATCTGGCAACAACATGACGGCGCATTGAATACAATGCAATGAACGTGATAGCAACAAATTAATGTTATACAAAGCAAGACTGGCGGCCAACTGTTTTGGATCTTATATTTAGTTATTTATTTTTACATACTGCAGCCTCATTAAGGCTATTGCAGGAGTGGGAAAAGAAAAAAAAAACAAGAACAAATCAATATTCATGGACAGGCTTAGGAAAATTCTTGAAGTGGTGGAGAACTAACACTTCCAGGCAGCATATTCCAGGCTTCTATAGTTGAAAGAAAGAACTGTATTTGAACATGTCAGTGTGGGTAAAAAAAGTTGCAATGTCATTTGCATGGTCACTTCTCGTATACAAAAGTCTGGAAAGTTTCAGAAAATTTTCAGGTGCAGTGGGATCTAGCTGCGGAACGAAATTCGTTCAAGAAAAATCTCTGTCATATCTCTTGCATATGAAGGGCACAGCTCTTTTTTGAACAGATTCAAGTTTGTTGACGTAACATATTTATAGGAGGTTCCAAACCACACTACCATATTCAAGAATGGGGCGCATAAGAGTTTATAAGTAAGCAGTTTTCTTTCTTAAGGAGCAAGTACGATATTAATAACTTAAACTGATATAACCTTACATGCGAGATCAATATTAAAATAACCTTACATGTGAGATCCATATGTTTCGACCATGATAAATTGTGTCATAATAACACCAACGTACTTGCATTCAGACACCCTATGCACAAACTAACATTGTTAAAACTATAGTCAAAAGTTATGAGGCATGAACATCTGGTAAATGACATAATGACTGTCTTGGAGAAGTTAATATCATTTGGAAAGAGTTGCACTGGCTACTAAAACGAGAAAGTGAATTAAGAATGGCATGATCCAGTGGAGATTCAACAGTGTGATGCAGGACGTAGTCATCTGCAAAAAGGCGTATTTCCACAGAAGTGTGCAGGGGGAAGTCATAAATATAAAGCAGGAATAGGAGGGGTCCTAACACAGAACTCTGGGGAACTCCTGATGAAACTGGCATCAAAGGCGAGTCAGTAGAGTTGAAGCAGACTTGCCCCCGCATTCAGAAACGCTGCTCGACTTGAACTTGACTTGTCATTGACTTCAATACAGCACAAACGCGTTTTGAACGCGCTGTATTTAGGCAGTGCCAAGGCAGCACTAATGCACATACCCGTCTCAAACACACTGCATTGAAGGCGGTTTTAAGTCAAGTTAAAGGCAAAGAGCGTTTTTGTATATGGGACTTATTGTGAACGCTGCAAAAGGAAGTCAGATATCCAGCCAACCAATGGTGCATTCTTTAGTATGACAAACAATTTGTGCAATAGTTTAGGATGAGATACAGTGTCGAAGGCCTTGGCAAAATCAATGAATAAGGTCACCTATGTCTAAAGAGCTGCTGATGTCATGAATGAATTCTGTCAGTTCAAGAATGGTGCTAAGACCATGTCTGAAACTGCTGGCATGTCGCAGAACTCCTACAAAACTCTGGTGTGAGCAAATGCGGCCGGTCCTGCGAGAAGTGCTTTTTTTCACAGTCGCTTCACCTCAAAAGTGCACCGATATTTGTCAGAATAGCACGCGTGCCAGTGATCTTCTTATAATGAGTTTTTGTGGGAATTTATTAATTTTGTTATATCCAGGTTTAACTGTACTGGCTCTGATTCAGTTCTTACCAAAGTGTGCCGACATATTTTCTTTCTGTGTGCACAATACTGTACGTGCAGGTGCTGCCCATGGCCTGTCATCCATACTGATGACGTTGCTCCATTTCCCGTGGTTTGTTGCGGGAGACCAAACAGTGGAGCATGACATCCGGGCCTCGGTTGACTTCCTGCTGCACGTGCAGACACCACAGGGCAACTTTCCGTGCGACCTAGGAGGATGTCACCAAGCCGCGCCGTTCTCAGGACGAGCTCATTCACTGGTGCCACGGAGCACCAGGTACGTGTCTGCATTGGTCGAGTGCGAGAATGAGTCCGAATTGTCGATGAGAAGACATCTTTAGCTTGGGAATGGGAAACGCGAGGACCAGCTACAGAGCTGGGGACGAGACGGTCTGCATGTAACCACTTGTAGATACCTCGGGCATTGGAAATCGTGTTTGTTTGTTCAACATAATGTATTTCAAGGGATGGTACAAGGCAGACTAAGTGCCTGACAGTGGCCCTACCACCCAAGCACTGTTCAACAGGGTTGTGAACATCAGTAATGTAACGTCTTCTTCAAACTCCCCTTCTCTTTTACTCAGGTTCTTCCTGGCACTCCGGCCCACTTGTCTCGTCCTGATTGGAGACGGCTAAACCAGCATGTTGGCATGTGATTGGCCCTTTCTTCTTTTGTATTACAGTTGAGTCCACAGATAACGGCCCCACTTAAAACGAACTTTCGCTTAAAACGGACAAGATCCGGGTGACCGTGAAAATATACATCGTTTCAATGGCACAAAATCCCATTTGCAACGAATGTCTCTGAGCACCACCGATCGGTTACAGCGAACGGAGTCTGCACTGTGCTGACTTCCTGAGAAACCACTTTCGACTACCGGTCAGGCATCGGCGAGGTAACCATAGATTCTTATTGGTAAATTCCGACCCTGCCTCCGCGCCCCTCTAGTTGCTGCTCTCCCCGCCCGCTTTTTTGTTACATACCCCTCTCTCGTTTGTCCCCCCGCTACTCTGAGCACCCCGCATCGCCAGACAAGGCCCGTGTTTTCCCACCGACTTTTCAAAGACCGGTCGGCCTTCTCCCCTCAGTTTTGATCGCTGGTACTGTCGTTGGCGTCGCCGGCCTGGAGTGACCAGACCATTTGCCAACACCGTCGGCCGCCAACTGTATCCGATCATCTGCGTCTTGTCTTGTCGTATCGTTCTAGTGCACACGCGATGCTATCCCACCGACTCTAATGATTCGCGATTTGTTTCATGTTTAGGACCTGTTCTTGCTCACTTCGCACTGGGCTGGGCAAGCCCTCTGCACGCATTCCGAAGCATAAAAACGGCTATTATTTGCACGGACCGAATCGCGAAATATCGAAGTTGGTGAGACCATGCAAACCCGCCGGCGCATTAATACGATTCTTTAACCATGGCCGCCGATTATTTGAACACAGTCACAGTCAGGTGCGATTATTTGAACACAGTCACAGTCAGGAACACAGTCAGGTGCGCCGATTCAGGCGGCCGTTCTTTGACCTTTGCTCGCGCTGGCGCTCTTTCAAGTTTTTCTACGCGCGAGTTGCGGGTTTCGCGGACCTTTCAAGCAAGCTACCTGACCGGCCTACTTTCCACATGTTTTGGTTTTCAAGGTTGCCTTCCCGTTGTATCCTCCCCTCTCTTCACTCTTTTGCAACTCCTTGCCCTTCTCTCACAAATCTGCTCTCTTTTCTTGACCACAATCCCTTCGCCCGTCTCCACCAATCTGTCATGCCAGCCACGCTGGCTCGAATTCAGAAGTTTCATTTTCTGACTAGAAACAGGCCCAGAGCTGTTTGACGTGTTCTGGCATGTGTGTCGCGTGTGCGTGTCTTGCTCGCTATTCGTGTGCGTGCGTTGTCAGGATGGCGGACGGGAGGCCTTGCACTCTTTTTTCCTGTCGCTCAACAAAACGTAGAAAGTGTGACCGCTTGGCTTGGGCATAATCTGTGCGTTAGGTGCCACGATGAAAAGTGCTTGCTCATAGCTGTTGACCACCTGGCAGCCAACTTGTCACTTCGGATGTCCCGGTATTCAGCTGTGGAAATGAATATTTCGTGGACGGTGATGACGGCTACATGCGCGCAAAACTGTTTTCACGAGTCCGACTTCGTCGACCTCGGGCCCAATGCCGAGCCCGAAGCTTCCGAACAGGACCACAATTGCGGCGATTCGTGGCAGCGTGTCATAGACTCCGACATGGGAGAGCGGGTGGGACAACTGTTTTGATGGTTTCATGATGCCGGCACCGCGGAACCTTGCACGGATTAAGGCATTGTGAATGAAGTACGCAGAAAGAGCAATTTGTAGGAATCTGAATGCGAGAACAACGAAACTTTGGAGCCAGTGCCTCGTGCAGCTTATACCATGGGCCTCGGTGAAGAGCACGCTGCCGCTTGAAATAAACTCGAGACTGCCCTTGTCGCTACTGCTCTTCGAAACACGTGCATCATGGACATTTCTGGGCAAAAAATTTTGTGTTTTCACTCGCAATTTCGGAATACAGCGAACGGATGCCATGTCAGGCTCAGGTTCATTATAAGTGGGCTCAAATTATTATTACTATTGCGCCACCTGTCCTTGTGCACGCCACTTTTCAATATCGCCATTCTCGTTAGAGCTGAACCGCATGTGCACTCAATGAGGTTTTGCTCTTTGTGACACGCACTTTTCAAAAGCACACCACACTTATCACGCTGAGAGGGGAACTTGGCGAAATGAAGTAAACAGGTTTTCGCACAAACTTTTTTTGCACATAGCTGTGAACAATCCTTTTGAAACAAAAAATTCTTTGGGTGTTATTACGTTTCTGCCTTGGAGTAACATCATTGGCAATGTTTTTCTATTAACATTGAAGATCTTCTTACTCTGTACCTCAGTAATCATTGCATCAGGCTGTTTGTAGTTGCATTGAAGCCAGTGGAGAAGTTTGTCATTCCAGAATTCTGCCGGTTTGACCATTTACAAGTTTTTATCATCGTTAAAGCTTTATCTGGGCTATACTCTTATCTAAAGAAAGGTACTACATGCCGAAGCAGGGCATTTTCTTTGGGTCTTAAGCTGCCCCTTGTTGTGCAATATTTTCTTGCCAGGTTTTGACAGCGCAGTCAACGAAGGGCTCGACCGTGACCAAGTTTTTTTTGTGTATCGTTATGTGGAAAATTTTGTTTTGGGTAAGAAAAAAAAGGCATGTCAGTTCCACGTTTGATGAAGCCCATGTGAATGTGCTTGACCTTTTTAAGTCTCCTGCTTCCTCCTTTTTTATGCACTTTTCAACATCCTTGCACCCCCAACATCGACGAACAAAACTAAATGCACAAATGGGTTCCAAGTACTCCATGTTCTTCGTAATAGTAAGAGTTCCAAGTCAGTGCTATAGTGGCGTCATCCGGGTCTGCTCCTGCACATGATCTTCCAGCGCTGTTTTCGGCGCTTTTGCTCTGCTTGTGCTATTTAGTGTGTTGACATTGATGATGTACACATGTGGTGAGTAAGGGTTTTACTCAATGGGCCCAGGTCATCGGACGCACTCTAGACAACCCGATAACACGAAGCCGTTCTTTTTATCGGACGAGGACAGCAACACATATGATAGAATCTCACAATGATAAATGGAAAGTCTACAATAAAGTTCCTTTCGTGCGAGGAGAAAGTCTATGTCGTTACGGTCAGCATGCTTCCCTCCTGCGACACCAAGTCTAGAAATCCACACTCACGCGCACCGTCGTTGCAGTGACCGCAGCACCGGGCAATGTGGCGTTGAGTCCATCGCAGTAGCGTCTACGGTGAGACACACCTTCTCGTGTAGCTCGCTGGCTCGAGCTTAAGTCGTTGTCCCGCACCATGACATCTTGTTGGCATCCAGGTCTTGCTCGACTGGGGCGAGCACCCAGGACACGGGGTCGAAAGCCCCGACAACCATCGAAGCCGGCCACGCACGCTCGCTGCACCAGTCTTCTTTCTTCTCTTTTTCCAGTTAATTTCCCGCTCTGATTTTGCCCCTATGGCGCTCTTGTCATTATCATCACAACCTGCTATGTGGCTGAGCAGGTTTTCTTGGCATAAAAACTCCCACTGAAGTTCGCTAAGACACGTTGCCGGGCTAGTTGGTTGGGGCTCATCATTTATATGGGTATAGAGCACCACGACAAGAACTCAAAGAGAGCGCTGTGTGTGTGTCTCTCTTTGTATTATTGTCGTTGTGGGCTATACCTATATAAATGATGAATCCCACTGAAGTCTCTTCCGTAAAGATACTGTGCCGCTCTTTCTGAAAAACCTGTTCCTTCGTTTTCTCTCTGGCATCATTAAACTTGTAAGCATCAGCTTTCTGGCTCTGGCTTGGTCTGGTCTCTCTCTTTCGCCGCTGTGACGTCTCGCCATTTGGCAGCTTGCGGAAGTAAAGCGCACCGTACGCATTCCCTTCAATGTTGACTTCTGAAGCTGTCTCTATGAGCAGATGCTTTGACCAGTACAAGGGGCTTGCTTTTGTGTCATCACGGTCTTCTCTTACTTTTTTTTTTTCATTTCTTTTCACTTCATTAATTGGCTCTGGTTTCTTTCCTCTGGGCACATGAATGCGCAAACATGAAATCCAAATCTGTTTTCTTTGGCATGCGATCATCATCAAGGTGTGAAGGATCATTCATTGTCCAGATGCATGCGGTTTTTATTTTGTGCAGTAATATTTCTCCAGCTACGCCTGAGGTGCAGCCGCTGTCTTGTCATTGGCTTCGCGGGAACAGTTCATTGACGAGAATCCTAAAGCTGTGAAAGATATCTCTAGACTGGGCAGATGTTCTTCGGTGTTGGGTTTTCAGGATTGCCTTTTGTGTCGTGGAAACCCTGGTTTGTATGCTGCCCATATATTCCAGTATTTGTCCCGAGGACGACTCCTCTAGCTTCTGTGGGAAAAGATTGCTATCCGGTACATAATACTTGATGGGTTGTTGCCGATAAAGAGAGTATTTTTCTTTCTACTTCTGTTCTCATCCTTTGTTATGTTGATTCTACGTCAGTTTGCCGAGATTTTAATGCATCTTCGATCTTATACTCTACTCTCACCCTTGCTAGAATAATCTGGCGCTCATAAATGTTGGTTTCCTCCATCTCTGCTTCCAAATGATCAATGTGAACTGCATCTTCCTCTTCGTTGTCAATTCTTCTTAGAACGTTATACTGGTTAGTCAAAATATGTTGAAAATTTCTCACTTCATAGAGCGGTGGGTGTTCCATATGCACAAGACGTTT